GCAGCTGAAAAAAATGAGACTCAGCAGCCCCACGTGTCTTACTCATTCTCACATAGTAGGTCGTAGAGACCATACTCAACTGTGGGTTTCCTGCTACACATCAAATATTCTCTCCACAGTGTTCTGCCTTTTGCTTTTCTTTATCTACATAATTAGAAACACTGAAATGTGTTTTCTCATCTACCTAGAAAATTTCCTCAATTGTTACCTTTGCATATTATTTTAGAAAATTATTTCTTATAAAATTCACATATGGCTTTTGATTTCATGGCACCCTTTTCCTGGAGGTTCAAATAATTAATGTATGTTTGAAAAGAGTAAATTCTTACAATGCTGTGTGTGGGGAAGCAGAAATGATGAGTCTCCTATGATGTAAATCAACATTGTAATCGTTAAAAAATAGATGCACTCATTCATAAGTGGCACAAAACACTCCAAACTGAGTAGGAAGGAATATCTGAGTGGAACTGATAACAGCCAAGCCTGAAGAGGAAGCACAGCAGCCCATTACAAGCTATTGAAAAGTTCCACAAAAAAAAAAAAAAAAAAAAAAGGCATATGGCAGGAAATTCCTGACCAGTAGTGTAATCTCTTACATAAATGTGTTGGCAGATAGATGGATTTTTATGATTTTGCTTACACCCGCTGCTTACTGCCCCTTTAGATATGTCACCTTGTAAATGTATTATAACTTCACTCTGATTCTATTTAATGGTATGATTCCATAAATTCTAGGTTCATCTTAATCCCCTCAAAATATTCTTGGCTCTTTGCCCAACAGTGGTGGGAAGGAGTGAATAACTAAAATACCAAAGGAAGTTGCTATAAGTTAGTTCCCTCAAAAGTATTATATTGAGGATTCAATATAGTAATAACCTAATTTACTATTGTTGTATGTAAGGAATTAGGCAGTAGAAATTTTAAAGTAGTAATTAAGGCTACAGCCATAGAACTATAAACATGGCAGTTAGAGTAAAGAGCTAAAAAAAAAATAAAGTATATATGTATTGAACCTCATGTATGTGTTAAATATTGACCTAGACATTTGGCTTGCATTATTTCATGTTTACAACAATACTGCAAAATAACTATTATGCTCATTCTACAGATTAGCAAACTGAGTTTCTAAAAGATAAAGTTATACAATCCATGCCCTCCCAATTCCCGGGCAGACCTAGATTTAGTCATTCCTGGCTCTACCACTTTCTGCCTACAGACGCAGCCCTGGGCAAGTCACTGAACCTCTGAGGACTTCACTTCGCTCAGTGGTAAAACGAGTGATGATATACCAATTCACCACCTCACAAGGTTACCATAAACACACTTAAACTGCAAAACAAAACATTGGCGGTTACTACTATTAACACAAACAAACAATAATTAAACTAATAAGAGAAAGTGATGGGAACTGATTTCCAAACTTTTCTTGGACACTTTGTTTTCAAATATTTGATTATGCAATACTGAGCTGTTTTCCAGGCACAGTCTTTGGGGGTTGATTGTCAATGAATCATTTCCTTTACATTCAGATGAAAGATATGCCTGGGTAGGTCAGGTTCCCACCCAGCCTTATCTTAACAAAATGTTGCAGGTAATCAAGCAACTAGTATTTTTTATCATTTTACTTACAGAGTCTAAGATTCCCTCTCTGCAGATATTTCCAGCACAAAGACAGGAGACTGTTGGCCATCAACCCACTGACGCTGGGTCTACAATGACAAGTACAATGCCAGGAAAGTGACTAGCAAGAGGAGTAAACCCAGCGTTTTCAATTTTTCTTATCACCTAAACTTAATTTTCAAAAAAAATCTTAGGTGGATATACAGCATAAAAAAAGATAATAAAAGCAATATTTTATTAGAATATTTTATCAGTTCAAATTTGTTACACATATTTATTATAAGATTCATAAATGAGAAAATGAGTTTTAAGGAACACAAAAAAATTGAAATTGAGGGTTACTCATGATAGCGATATAAATCTTAACCTCAGTATCCAAGTATTTTATTTTGTTGTTTTGTTTTCACTAAATTGAGACAAGTCTGATTCACAAGCAATTGCACATGAGGCACTTTTTGTTAGTTGGTTGCTTTGTTTTTGTGGTGACTATAGATTTGGATGTTTTGTGTTCATATTTAACAGCTTATATTGCTTTTCAGTTAGGCAGTTGGCCAGAGAGACTTTGTTCAAAAATGTGCACATACACATGTCTTGCTAGGGAGACTGCATCATGGATGGGGTAGAGGCTTTATCACTGCACTGTATACCTGAAGCTGATGTTGTATAATATTGTATGTCAACTATAAGTGAATATATATATATATATAGTCAGGGGACATGGAGTATAGTGTGGGAATGGAGTCAAGGGAATTATAATAAATATGTATGATATTGGGGGGGAAGTGGGGTGGCGGATTGGGGAGGGGGGTTGTCACCTCGAGGGGTAAAAAGTATAACTATTGCACAGTGTTGTACAGCTGAAACTAATTCTAAAATATGTGTACTTCACAATAAAAAATAATTTAAAAAATGTGCACATAACTTAACCTAGCCATACAACTTAACATCACCATAATTTAATATTGTTCAGGAAGTATACACAGATAAAATGATTGCTTAACTGGAAAGCTCAAAAGAATCCACTGAAAAACTATTATCAACAACAAAATAATCCAGTATGGTAAAATACACACACATACACGTATATATGTGTGTGTGTATATGTGTATGTGTGTGTGTGTGTGTGTGTACATATATATAAAATGGAAAAAATCAATAGTCTTCATATATACAAACAACCAGAAGATATAATAGAAGGAATTACTGGAAAGGCATATCATGATTTTGGTTTAAAAGGCTCAGCATCTTAAGATGTCAATTCTTTCAAAGTTAATTTATAAATATTGGGCCTCCAACTCCCAAAGTTAATAGTAGAATTTTTTTTCAAACTAGAGAAGTTGATTTTAAAGTTACTATATAAAACTAAATAAGCAGTAAGAGCCAGGAAAAATCATCTAGGGAAAAGTAAAAACAAGAATGAGGAAGGACTGATCATACTAATTGTTAAAACTGAAGGGAGAGAAGGAAGGGGAAAAAGGGAGGGAGGAAATGTAAACCTACATAATTGCTTCTGTCTGCATTGAACATGTCAGAAGAAATTGGCAATATTGGTTGGCTCTGCGGAACGAATAAATACATTTAGTACTATTTTAAAATTTTACATCATATGCAAGTATAATCCATTCAAAAATTTTAAAATAAAATAATTTTAATATATAGATGCTAATTGCATCAAGAATAATAATTTTCTGCTCTATAAAAATTAAGGAAAGCATATCAATTGCATTTAAACACTGTCTGGAATTCATTTATGTGTATTAGATTTATAATCTTAATCAGGGATTAGTTAATACCTCTGTATAGAAAATAGGTTATAATGTTGTATATTTTGAAAACTTCATCCTAGAATCTAGGACAGTCAAGTATAGTCATTTAATTAAAAAATCCATAACATTCAATCACTTAATAAAATAGAAAAAGAAAAAACAAAAGGAAGGAAGGAAGGAAGGGAGGAACCAGTTTCTAGAGCTGCTACCTAAGAAATATATTTAAATACTATTTTTAATACATTACCTTTTCCATCCTTTCCACCTCACTGGTATACAAATGTCTTGTTATAAATTTACTGGAATAAATGAGCAATTATCTAAAAAATAGTTCTTAGTCTTAAATTTCAGCAGAATTTCAATGCTATCAGGAGGCATAAAATCTACTAAAACCCTTAATATTATTCCTGGTACATAAAGTCACTCAAGAAGTAGTTGTTGAATAAACATCAACTAGAGATATTTGGTAGGTTGCCTTTTAGGGTCCTAATACCATTAAATAGATTTAAAAACTATGCTAATTGGGATTTTTAAAGGGTAATTTATATTTTTTAACTCAATTTTGAAAAGTCAAAATGATAGGCATTAGGACCGAAATAGTTTCAATACAAAAGTAACCAGAAAAGAAAACAAAGCCTATATTTTCAAATAAACAGAGCAAAAGCATTCTAATTGTTCTCCTATCCCTAAAATGTGTTACTGGCTATACAAGATCCTTAAAATGTATTATTATAAAAAGACACATCATTACTTGCAGCATTAAAATTATAGTGGCAAAAGTCTGAAAATAATCTAAATATCCATCAATAGAGGACTGGTTTTGAACAAATTCTGGTAAACTCATGTAATGGAATACTATGTAGCTATTCAAAAGAATAAAGTAGGTCTCTATGGGCTGATGTGGAACAACCAAGATATCCTGTTAACATTTTTTTAAAGCACATAGCTGAACAAGGAGCAATAGAGCCTACCTTACGTGGGGTTCTCAAGCCAGTGTGTAAGGCTTGGAATTAATTGCACACAGATCACATGCCCCTAGAAGATCCCTGAGAGCAATGCCAATATGGAGGCTCACAAACCTTTCCTCAGTAAATCCTACACAGAGCTAGTGTTGCCTTTGGCCTTGAAAAACATTTCTAGTTCCTCAGTTGCACATCACATGAGGCTGGCTTCCATTGAGGGGCCACGTTGTGTGATAAATTCAGTCTTTAAAAGCTGGCCTCTCTTCAACAATAAAAGAGAAGGAAACTATGCAACCACATGGATGAACTTGGAGGGCATTATACTAAGTGAAATAAGCCAGTCACGAAGAGACAAATACTGCAGGATTCCACCTATATCAGATATCCAAAATACTCAAATTCATAGAAACAAAGAATAGAATGGTAATGCCGGGGGCGGGGCGGGGGGAGGGGAGTAAGCCTTGCTAATGACCAGGTACAAAGTTCCAGTAATGCAAGATGAGTAAGCTCTAGAGATATGCTAACACTGTGCCTATAGTTAACAATGCTGTATTGTACACTTTAAATCCTAGGAGGGTAGATCTCATGTTAGGGACTCTTAGCATAGTGAAATAAAACTAAAATCTAGCCTCACCCTCAGCTCAGGGTTGTGCGCACACTGAGAGTGAGTCCAGCTGAAGGAACAGGGGGCTGGTATGTCTGTAAAATAATTAAATAAAAGTACACTTATCCACATAGACACTTACCTGTACATAGACTATCTGGAGAGATACAGTAGTCCTTCCTCATCCTCGGGACATGCATTCCCAGACCCCAAGTGGATGCCTGAAACCACAGATAGTACCAGATCCTACATACACTGTGTTTCTTCCTATACACACGTACCTATGATGAAGCTTACAGCTTCTCTCTGGCATATCTGAATCGTCAACATCACTATTCTTTCACTTTGGGGCCATTACTAAGTAAAATAAGGGTTACTTGAACAAAACTGCTGCACTCCCGCAACAAACAACCTGATAACCCAGACAGCCACTAAATGACTAATGACAGGTGGCATATACAGGGTCGATATGAGGGACAAAGGGATGATTCACGTCCAAGGTGGAACAGAGCGGGACTCGACAGATTTCATCATGCTACTAAGAACTGCGAGCAATTTAAAACTTATGAATTATTTCTGGAATTTTCCAGTTAATATTTCCAGACCTTTGTTGACCATGGGTAACTGAAACCACAAAAAGCAAAACGACAGATAAGGGGGGATGACTGTATTCAAGAAACTGGAACTGCAGGTCACTTTTGTAGAAAAGGACAGGAGACACTTTCCACTGTGTAATACTTTTGCATTATTTTAATGTTTTGCAAAGTATAGCATTACTTTAGTAAAAAATGACAAGTAAAAATACTATATTTAAAAATGCATACAACAGGGCCGGCCGAGTGGCGCGATGGTTAAGAACTCGCTTGGGATGCCAGAGGGCCCCGGTTCGGATCCCACATATGAGGGCCAGTGACATTGCCCTCTACAGCTAAGATGCTGAACAACAGCTCAACCTGGAGCTGGGCTGCCGTGAGTCGCTGGCAACGGTGTAGGCTGCAGTCCCTGTGGCAGTGGGTTGCCATGGGCTACCGTATATAGCCAGCAGCCAGCGTGAGCGACCGTTCAGAAGCCGGCGACTGATCTGCCTCGCCAGGGAAGAGCGCAATGATGGTGCCAACTTGGGCCAGTGAAGCAACATCCTCCACAACTAGATTGAAGAACAAAAAACGACAGCAACTTGTCTGTTCCCCTTCCCCCAATTCCCCAGCACTGTTCCCATCCCCCCAATTCCCCAATAAAAAATATTTTTAAAAAAATGCATACAACATCTAGCAGATTAAGACGATTGAAGATTTAAGGGTAGATTGACCACCTAGTAACGTCCTGCTAATAATGACTTACTCTTCTACCCCAATTCATAACTTCTGGAGACTGATAGAATCTTTGAAAGTCTGAAAAAAAATAAAAATCCCCATGAACATTAGATTTAAAGCTAGTTACACTGGAACATCTATCTGTGGGATTTTTCCTAACCTAAATCTATTCAAGGTATTATCAGATAAACCTAACATATGAGACTTTTGTCAATATAACCAGTCTAAACCCTTCAAAGATTCAGTGTCATGAAGCATAGCAAAATAAAAATATAAATCCAAAGAGACAAAGAGACACAACAACTAAATGCAATGTGTGAACCTTTGATCAAATCATGAGTTGGGGAGGAAAAAAAATCGATAGAAGACATACTTGGGACAACCAGGGAAATTTGAATATGGATTCTATATGAGATAATATTATGGAATTATTGTTTATTTTAAGGTTGTGATCATGCCTATTAAACAACTGAGGGGTAAAATGTCATGAGGTCTGCCACTTACTTTTATAGTTCAAAGTAATACACATAATTCAAATGCACTTGACAAAATGTTAGCACTTCGTAAATCTATGTCAGGAGTATATGAGTAGTCATCGTACTCTTTTTCTAACGTCTCTGTAAGTCTGAAATTTTTCAACATAAAAAATTGAAAGGAAAAAATGCCCTCCACTCTCCTATAGGTCACAGCAGCACCATCACATTCCCCCCTACCTCCTGCTTAGGCATTTGGGTTTCCATCTCCGTCCTTCTTGCCAAAATGGGCTGTTAGTGCTGCTCGAGAAATCTAGCACTTGATTTGTGTCTTCCAAAAATATGATGAGGCATAGACAGTGTCTCAACCTGAGCTCATGCTTCCTTTGCCTTTGTCTTCCCTGGCTGAGCTTGCTGAGGTCAGGAACATAACCGTGTCGAAACACTATAAGGGGAGGCAATACCCATGAACTGAACTGAAGCTTTAGACTAGTTCGCTGATCTTTAGTACCTATTGTGTTACTTTTTAGCAAAGTAGATAACAGATTTCTTGGGAAGATGAAAAAAAAATCACTAAAATAAAATTCTAGGGATGCCTCTCCTATGAGTATGGAGAAAAAGAACCTTGCATATAGCAGCTTTGTGCCACATTAGCAAAAGCATGGAAATTCCCTGCCATCTGTGCATGCTGCTGGCTTTATCTGACTTCCACCTGTTAGCTTTTTATTCTCTAATACTATGCTGACGGCACTTTCTGTGATGATGGAGCTGCAGAGCCTGTCACTGGCAACATAGTTCCATCCTACTTTAGAGTAAATAAAACTATTTCAAACTGGAAATTTAATGAAAGAAAATGTCACAGATGGAACACACTGGGAAGAGGAGGGGGATGCTGTATTGCTCGTCGTCCCCACAGCCCAGGAATGGAACCGACTCTGAAATGCTGGCAGTGGACTCGAGCTAACTATCACCATGTGTGCACAGATCAGGCCAACGGAATTGTATTCATGTCTGAGAAAAAGAAGAAGCTTCTTTACTCTCGGTTACAAAGAAAATCAAATCTACCCATTCCAATCGGTGTTTCACTTCTTTAAAAATGTTTCCTCTTAACTTGACTCATTGCCCATTATTTTTCCTTCTCCCTTTTCCTGTGCCTTCTTTTCTCTTCAGAGATATCTCTAGATAGAAAACATGGCCCTCAACCAGTCCACACAAATTCTGCAGAACTCTCTGAACTAGTTATTTTCTTTACAGTAAGGCTTAGGAGACCCAATGCAGCCTCTTTATTAAAGCCATGATGATTGGTAAAAATAAAACTAAATATAAATAAAAGCAATTGCTCAAAGTATCATGAATGGCAAAAGTAGGCCTGGGGACTTTTTTCTTTCTCGAGCGAAAGCACTTACTGCTAGCACTGCGGTGCCTGCCTTTATGGTAGTGCTTATTCTTTTTACAACCAAGCTACTTCCTTATTTTCTGTTCCCCTTCTTTCTTTCTATCAGTCCGGGAAGACATCAGAGGAGAATGAAAGAAGAAAAACAAGGTTTATGAAAACAGAAAATGAATGCCCTTTCTTTCAAAGCAGTGCGCAGGCAAGAGCCTGATCATTGAAATCCCGGGAGATTTACCTTTACCTGTGCAGTAGGTCTACCCCAGCCTAGCTCTGGACAAAATATGCATCATTCCCCCCAGCCGGTGCATGATTACCCCTAGTTACACAGATGATCCCACCTCCTGCACTGCCTCTCCCACTCATCACTACCAGTTGTTCTGGGCCCGGGAGATCAGATATTCGGATGCACCGTCTCCACCCACCTGCTGATACAGAACTCTTGACCTGGCTAAAAGAAGAAAAATAGTGACACAATTTTCACTGCCTACATAGTTTCAGTCCCTACCTCTTTCTGATTCGCGAGCCCAATGAAATCCATTCTCTTGATTATGCTTTAAAAAAATAAATAAACGAAGGTGTTTGTAGCTGGGATAATGGTAGAGCACACTGGCCCAAGACAGGGGATGGGAACTGGGAGAAATAACTGGTGATGTAAAATATGTCCCCTATCCTAGCCTCTTTGTCTTCCGGTCCTTTCTTCTGCATCTTTCTTTCCTCCCCCCTTTTTTCTCACCCTATGCTAGTGTCAATTAGTGACTGCCAAAGGCACCTAACTTGCTAAAATTATTTTCTGCCTGCTGGAGTGAAGCCTATCAGTTCCCATCTCCTTTTTACTTATTTGTCAGGTTAATGGCCAGCAAGAAGGTTTAGCCCAAATTAGTACCTAGTGGTTCACTAGCTCTGCCTGCTCTGATGCTTACTGAGCAGAGCTCTGTACCAGGTGCAGTGCAAGCAGAGAGGGAAGCCGTGTCCTTGCCTGCAAGAAGCCTATGATCCAACAAAGAAAGACAAACATGAAAACCTAAATCTAATACAAGGGAGAATCCCCGAGATGGAAACACGGAGGGAAAAGCAACTAAATGCCAAAGAATGGTGATTTCACCGATTCCCACCAGGAGATTACACTACAGGAATTTTTTTGAAAAAACACTTAAAAAGATGAATACAAAATCAAGTTTTATCAGCTGTCACACAAAGAAATCTCGACCTCAAACAGCAGCTCTCCTCCCAAACGTTGGCAAGGGGTGGGGATTTGCACCGTCCAAATGCTTATTCTTTAGCAGAAAAGGAACTGAATAGATGAAAGACCAGCGTTAACTGCTTCTAAGTATTCATGTCTTTGCCTGTGATGACTCTTACTGAAGAATAGCGCTTATTTTGCCTTTCCTGGAAGATGCTGCAAACGAAGCTGTGCAGATTGACTAGGGTTGTGCAGACAAGCCAAGCATCCAGGTCTATAAACATAAGGGGCAGGGGTGGGGAGTGGGGCATACCTGACTGGTAGGTTTTCCACCTTCCCTTCTTTTAGTTATCTGGGGAATTAAGTGAATTCAGAGATAGTGGACCTGTGATTACCTAATCAAATATTTTTCTCCAGTTGGTCAATCATGACAATGGAAAGGGCACCCTCACTGCGATAAGGCAGAATGCCGCAGGGACAAGGCCATCAGTCAGAGGTAGTGTGGGGCGCCTGAGGCTCCAACGATAAATAACGACTTTTCCCCTCATCCCTGTCACCTCTTCCCAAAGTTAGAGTCAGGTCCCTGGCCCAAGGCTGATCCTCACTCCCACACCCTCCCTCCCACAAAGCACCGTACCCTAAAGCAACCTGGAGGTGAGCTGTTAATGACCAGCAGCTGCCTGCTTGCTTGATTCCTGCCTTCCATTTCCCAGACTTGTTAGTCTCTGAGTCATCTGAAAAATGGGGACAATGATGATCATAATAACTAGCGTTCATAAAATTGGCATTGTGCTAAGTGCTTTACATGCATTATTCATTTAATCATCAGGAAAAATTGTCAAGGCAGTATTAATAATAATCATTATGACAAGTAACAATATTTCCTCCTTTACAGATGAAGAAATTGCAATTCTGAGAGGAGTTCATTAACTTACCCAAGGTCTAACCTCACTGCCTAAACTCTTCACCCCTTATACTATTGTCATAACACCTGTGTAAACAGGGTATTGAAAGCGTTAACATTAATGTATGTGGACATCAGTTAATGCTATTGTCATTATTTTTGGTATGTTGCAGTTGATGGTGATATTGGTTTTGGTGCTTTTCTCTCTCCCTGATGCTGGGAGTTCTGGCGTTCTATTAAGCACAAATCATCAGCCCATGCACTGGTAACTCTAAACCAATGCCTTGGGGACATCTTGAGCATCAAATAGCAAAACCAATATACCTTTTAGATATTTCATTGCTAAAATATACCTGTTGAGGGTGAATGGAGGTCAAGAGGCAAAGAAATGAGACCCAATGCTAGTATTTCAACTGACTACCTAAATGGTCTCCAATGCTTCGGTTTAAGAGTTCAGAATGGCAAAAGGTAAGGTACATTGTTCTTACATGGTTCACTTAGTTTCCTAAATTAAACATGGGTCATATGCTAACTTTTCACTATCCAAGCTGCACTTTTGCTCTAATCTTATCCTTTAATTCATTTTTTATTGGCATGAATTAATTATGATAAATGTGTAGACCTTTGACATGCTATGATACCAATCAGATTAAACATAGCGAGCATTTGGCATATACCCGGAGACTTCCCTAAGTAAAATAAAATTATTATTACATTTCATCACTTCCCATTGCCAAGTAATGTCCTACATCAAAGAGGGTCATTTTCAAGCCACACATCTATTTATAACATTATGTTCACTATCTTCCTTTCTCTGGCACATTGTCTGTGACCTTGACTGTTTTAGGACTAATAAAACAGTGCCATCAACATATGTTTATGAAGCTCTAGACACCTTGTAAGAGATTTCATAGTTACTAAAAGTGATAAAGAGTGACAAGGACAGTTCTATACTATACTACTGCTTGTCAAGAGAAAAATGTCACCCTTACCATAAAGTACCCGGAGGCATAATTAGAAGGTGAAAAAGGGGATGGTTTCCTAGGCTCCATAATTAGAGGGCTGGGCTAAAGCCAGCAGCAGTGGAAAGTGCCTTCTCTCCAATATGCCTGAGTGGAGCCTCAGACCATACCAAACGGTCCAGGTTAGAGTGATGACCCCATGCCCAAAACATGGAGCACCAAAGAATACACAGGCTAGTGGCACTCATGAAGAGGGGCCAGCAGGAATTTCTGGGAGGAGATGAGATTTTTCTGAACTTTCTGACTTTTCCTAATAGCATCAATATGAAACCTAAAATAACGAATCCCATCCGGGCACCTGCTAAGAACATTAAAGGAATTTAAACTTCACAGTTCCTGAATGCTCGTACCATAAACACAAATAGACCCCACAGAGCTATAAATAAATCCCGCCCGAAGGTCTCCTTCCTGTTCACATGTCTCTCCATAAAATCTGGTAGGACCTCCTTCCTTTCATCCTAACCTTTTACCTTGTTATTCCTGTCTGTCAGGGACAGGAGGTCAAGAAAGACACAAACGGAGCTTCAGGTTCCTGCTCATTTAACTGCGTCCCTGAAAATAGCCTGCTTCCCGAGGACCAAAGAAAAGGCGTCCCTGCAACCCAGCATTAAATCTGTGCAGTGCTTCACAGCTCTCTGTGAAATGGGGGAATTTAGTGTAACCCCAACCATCCTTCCAACCCAAACACTGTAGGATTCTGGGACGCGTGGCTACAAACAAGAAGAGTCTCAGCATCAGCCCCTCACAGCCTCTGTCCTGGTCCCTGGCCCCTTCTCATGGGGGATGTGGAGGATGGGCCGAGCCTGGGCAGCTGCAAAGGCCTGGGACCCTCTCCTCAGGGTCAGCAGTGGCTTCAAAGATGGAGCAGTTTCTTCCCAAGTGACCTTTTTCACCTCACAGAAAAATCATATCGTCCTCACTTTTACCACCAGTCTGATTGACCTGTCAGCACCAACTCCTATCCCAGCTCCCCCACTTGGCAGATGTGTGACCTCTCTGGGCCTCAGTTTTTCATTTGTAAAAGGAGAGTAGTAATGTTACCTATTGCTGTTATGAGGATTAAATTGGTTAATGTACGGAAAGTGCTTAAAATAGTCCCGAGGACGTTATAAATACCAGGTAATTGCTATGGTTTGTATTATTATTACTGGTAGTACTAGTAGTAAGAAGAGTATTCTACATCATCAACACAAGGAATCCCAACACTGCTATCTTTCCCTCCCTCATATTAAGTTTAAGGTGAACAGCTCAGGTCCCCACTTTAAGAGTCTATGTTATGGGACAGACTCAGGACAAAGCCTACGGCCAGTGTTCTGGGGACTTTACCAGAAGGTTTTCATTTTCTCTTGACATGAGGCACTGTATGCTGAAAGTGTCCCTGCCACCTCTATGGTATTAATAACTACAAGATGTGGCTAGAGAATCATAAACATATCAGAGATTTGATTCCATAGGTTTACGTCATCACTGAAATAGTCACGGTCACAAACAATGGGACAAAGGAAGACAGCAGCTCCATGACACCAAGCCCACATTTTCTCCAGCTTTTCTGTAATGTGCGCTTTTGAAGGATTTTAAGAGTCCTAGATGTGTTTAGTGCCTGTGTTTGATAGATTAATTCTTTCCTGACGAAATTTTGTATTTTGACTAACACAAAGAACCAAGGTGACAACCACAAATGGCAAGAAAATAATGGTCTAAAATAATTCCCATACCCAAACCTCTTCTCTCAGAATGAGGTCTAGAGCTGTGGCAGGTAGACCGGCACATTGCTTGCTACTTCCACCTACAATTTCTAGTAACATTCAACGGCCTTGGTTTTTTGGTTTTTTGGGGGTTTTTTTAAAGATTTTTTTTTAATTGGGGAATTGGGGGGATGGGAACAGTGCTGGGGAATTGGGGGAAGGGGAACAGACAAGTTGCTGTCCTTTTGTTCTTCAGTCTAGTTGTGGAGGACATTGCTTCACTGACCCAAGTTGGCACCATCATTGCGCTCTTCCCGGGCGAGGCACATCAGTTGCCGGCTTCTGGACGGCCGCTCACTGCGGCTACTGGCCGCTCACGCTGGCTGCTGGCTACACACGGTAGCCCATGGCAACCCACTGCCAAAGGGGCTGCAGCCTACGCCATCGCTGGCGACTCACAGCAGCCCAGCTCCAGGTTGAGCTGTTGTTCAGCATCTTAGCTGTGGAGGGCAGTGTCACTGGCCCTCATATGTGGGATCCGAACCGGGGCCCTCTGGCGTCCCAAGCCAGTTCTTAACCATCGCGCCACTCGGCCAGCCCTCAAAGGCCTTGATTTTGAAATGACATTTCACCTAAGATTAACAAAATAATAGATCCAATCATTTAAATTCTTTTTTGCCCATCCAATATTTGAAATCTTTATAAGCTCTAAAATGATGATGTTCCCATCGCTGAAGTTTTTATTTTATGGGGTCCTATAATTTCAACACATGTCATGAACTAATTTATTCTTGTTCACCTTAAATCTAGAGGGACATCCTGGCACAAGTCAAAAGTAGGTGGGTCAGAAGCACTGATATAGATTGATTTAGTTCACACTGTAGACATTCTTCAGGGTAGGGGGCAAATGTGCTCAGAAATGAGTAACTGAAAAATCAGGATGCTATTACAATACACAGTTTTCTTAAAAATTAAATATATCCTTACCTTGGGGTGAATGGAATGGTCAGAAGACAGTCTCCCTGGTGGTAGCTTGGTCCAAAGGTAGCTCTGTTCTCAACCCATCATCCCCATTGCAGGGGTCCAAACAACTGCCTGTGGATGGTAACAGAGGGTCATGTCCTAACACTAGCTCAAAGCAACACACCCAAACCCAGAAGACTGTACAACTGGTTCTTCACTCAAGTCCAAATGATGCAATCCATCTCATACAGTGATTTAATCCATCCTGTACAACATCCTGTACAAAATTGTGGTGAGGAATTGAGAATGGCATCCCTACACTAGTTAAGTCATTCCTAAGCACTCACTATAGGAGTGAGACTCAATCCCTTACTTTGGGGAGCCCCATGGGGACACCCCATTAGTGGTCAGTGAGTGACTCTCCCTTGCCATTCTTCCATATGTTCTCTCCCTCTCTCTTATAGCTCCTTTCCTGAGTCTCCACTTCTGCGATGTCCTAGCCATCAGATTGGGAAGACTCAGAGGTCAGTGGGTGGAGGCGGTAGGGGAAGGCTCCCTCACAATAATCTAGTCTCTAAGTGAGAATCTTCCATTGCAAAGGTTAATCTCCTGTTAGCAGGGTAGTCCTTCTCCCTAGCTTTGAGTTATATTTCAAAAAGCTGTCTTTAATCACCACAGTACCCTAGATAAAGTAACTTCCCCAACTCTCTCTATCCCATTAATAAGATTTATTTTATTCTTGGCATTTAATATTAGGTAAAATCTGTATGAACATTTTTACATACTAGTCTCTCTCATCATCTTCCCACTACCCCCAACCCCATTAGAATGTAAGTTCCATGGGACCATGATCATCACCCGTCATAAGATATTCACTGCTGCATATTAAATTCCTATGAAGGTGCTTGGCACAAGGTAGTAAATTCCAGATCTGCATTCCCAACTGTTTATTGGTTTATTTGATGTGCATCTCAATTACAACTTGAAAAAAAAAACCACCTGAATTCTGGGAAGATGTTTCCAGAAAACCTACTCTTCCTCCTATATTTTCTAACATCTACCATTCTCCCCAGCTAGAAAATTTAGTCATTCTGGAATTAACTTCCCCCTCTTCTCCTTTCTCAAATTCCCCACATTCCTAGCCTCTTTCACCATGTTCCCACCCCATCTAATTGACTTCCAACTCAAGCCAATTCTTCCTCCTCAATTATTCCTCCTTCCCATCTACAAGTGTTACCACTTCTGGGGAGCCTTTTCGTTACCACTGGAGTTAGCAGCTGTCATCCCTGTACATGACATCATTGTGCCTCATGACTCCTTCAGTGATTTTGAGTCCCTTCTAGGGTCTCACACTTTCTCGAGAACCTGCTCAAAGTCATGGGCCCAAGAAAATCACATTCTCTCAAAGTTTTACATAAAATGTCAGGACTCTATATTGTAAACCCTTTACTTTAATATGCATTATGGTTATTTTGTTGTAATTATTTATTTACTCACCTGTCTCTCTCAGTAGAATAAGCAGCTCTAAAAAATGCTTGTATCATGTTTTATCTTTTCCCTTTAATCTTTTTGTGCATTGTACAACGTACTAAAAAATGCAAATGGACTGTCTAGTCTAGGTATTAGGCGAATACTGCATCTTCTAAACATCAGTCTTTTGAGCAACGATCTCAACATTTTTGTCATATCTGTTACAATTTGCCTTATTACTTACTTATGTACTTACCATTTGTGGTAGATTGTTTGCAAAATTATTGCCAGATTCCTCCCACCTCTGATCACATGTGCCACTAACCTCCAGAAATGATATAAAGTCTATTTCTCTTCCCCTCGAATCTAGACTTATCCTATCACTGGCTTTGACCAACAAAATATGCCAGGAGTAATACTTTGTGACTTCCAGGTCTATGCCTTAAGAGACTTTGTAGCTTTCTTTTTCACTTCCTTGGGCTCCATCCACGATGTAAAAAAGCCCAGGCCAGACTACTGAGTAATGAGAGACTAGGTGGAGAGAGAGAAGCTAAGCCAGCTGCACTCATTCCAGTTACTTCAACTGGGCTGCCAGACATATGGGTGAAGCCATCTTGGACCTTCCAGCCCCAGCCAAGTTCCCAAGCCACAGAAATATCCCCAGCAGATATCACATGGAGAAGAAGAATTGCCTACCTAAGCCCAGCCAACCCACGGAATCCTAATAAGTCATTGTTTTTAAGCCACTACGTTTTGGGGTAGTCACAGCAGTAGAAAACTGATGCACTGCTTTTCTCTAAATCAACAGTTTGTTTTTAATTTAAGTATATGTTAAAATAACACTTCTGGCATTTCCATAAATAAGAAATTAGTATTGCTTTCCACAAAACTAAACACAATGAAAGAAAAACAAAGCAATGTATTCACTTCTAGCCAGATACTGCTGCCTCCAGAAGCCTCTATTTTAGCTCCAAAGGAAGATCTCCAAATATCGGAGAGTTATTAAAGATAGACCAGAAGTGGGGACTCTCTCCTTTGTATAAGCTGGTCTGATAGAAAATAACATGCTCACTCTGAAATGTGATATTATTTAATGCTCCGTCTATCAACAAAAATCATTGTCTTGCAGTAAATACTACTACTGGTCGTAAACAGCTATGGCAAACACTGTGAGGAAGTTACTCAAATGACTGACATTTGGAAGATGCTGTATTAACCTAACACTGAACACTGAGACAGGCAGCAAGCAGGTAGTCAACATTTTTAGTGTCTTCTACAAAACAACACAAGGCTAAACATAGAGGGGTTTGAATAAAAGATAAAACGTAATGCAATCCTGTCTTAGAAATGCTCCTATTCTAGGGGAGGAGACAGAAATGTAAATAAATAGTTATACTCCTTTAACTACGGTAAATGTAACTGCATTAGATTTAAACTATAAAGCCCATGGACTCAGACTCCAAATCGCTGACATTTGGGGTAAAAGTTTGAGGGTAGGTGGCTATTTCTGGGCCCATAACTTTCCTCAGGTTCTCAGAGGAGTCCAGTGGAACACATGTCATAATTTAGGAAACACTGTATTCGATAATACACAGTGTTACGGTTGATTCAATTGTTTCTACCTCCGTTTTCAGATGGCCTGGAAATGCTTTTTTAGTTTCTAATTTTGAAATCAAAACTCTGACTTTCTCCTTCCTCTTCATGTGTTTATTATACCTTTCTCACATAACTATACAAAAGTTCTCTTAAATTCCCTGATGACCAGGCTCCCTAAAGATCTCAACCACAACTCAAGTTCTTTGAAGCTAGAGCCGTGTTATATAACTTCCTGCCTTCTATTATCAACAAGCATCTGTTAAGTGAAGACTACCCTCCTAGAACTCCCGCGGGAAGCATTTCCTGCTGTCCAGAGCTGATTAAAAAAGTGTTTTCTGAAGTGCCTCAGAGATATAGAGAAACAACTAATGGCTGCTAGTTGTGAGGGATTAGACAGCATAAATACGTAACTACAATATTGCCACAGGGACATGACAGTTCGAGGAATATAATTAATAATGTTGTAAATATTTTGTAGGGTGTCAGGTGGTCACATGTCTTGCATCATGGATGGGGAAGAGGCTTGATCACTGCACTGTACACCTGAAGCTGATGTTGTATGATATTGTATGTCAACTATAAGTGAATATATATATATATATATATATATATATATATAGTCATGGGACGTGGAGTATAGTATGGGAGTGGAGTCAAGGGAATTGTAATAGATATGTATGATATCAGGGGGAAAGGGGGCGGTGGATTGGGGGAGGGGGTTGTCACTTTGAGGGGTAAAAAGTATAACTATTGCACTGTGTTGTACAGCTGAAACTAATTCTAAAAAATGTGTACTTCACAATAAAAAATAATTTTAAAAAATGTGTTTTCTATTGCTTAGACTGTGAACCCTGAATGTGTATTTAATATGAAATATGTGCATAAAATAGTTTGGGAAAAAAGCACCAAGTTCTTCCCACAATTTGTTCTATGTGTATATTCAAAAATGTCTGCCTGGACTGGCATTTTATATCTATGTCTGTTTAGGTTAATGTTGAATATTTTAAACAATGTGGGGACTGTTTATTGACATGCTACATAAAGCAGCCATTGCAATGTTATTCACAAATGGGACCCCGGAGCCTCTCCCGGGCATGAAAGTGCTGCTGTTGATACCTGTACTTTCCTCAGCGTTTCTTCTTTTATCCTAGTCCTTCAACATAACAATTTTGTCTCTCTCTCTGGAACTTAAACTCAGTGAAAAATAGAGACCTCTAAGATTTTAGTGCTTTCATCAGAATTGTTTTCTATTTCTTTTAGCCATGTTGGGAACTGAGTGAGCTGAAGTCTCCTCTGTTCAAAGTTCTTGAAGGTTTGACATTTAAATGTATTCAAAAATAGTTTTTGCATGAAAAACCAAGAAAGGGAGGATTGTGGTTTGTACCTTGGCATGGATTTTTATATGAGTGGGACAGAACCAGAGTGGCGGTGTAGAAGCTGTCTGCAGGATTTACTGGCACTGATTGGGGCAGGAGTGGCCCAGTGTCCAAACAAGTACATAATTCACGGGGCTAATTCTAGCTTTTGCCCAGTCCTCCATCTCTACTCCCACACGATCAACATATATGGAAATGTTAGTGAAGCCATCATCTCATTCTCTTTGACATGATTGATTCTGCTCATACCCATGCCTGAGCTTTTCCGCAAACGGAAAGGCCTTCAAGGAAGATGTTGCAAAAGGCAGCAAATTAAAGTGGGAACCTCTGCAAAACTTTCTATAAGAGGATTGAATGAAACATCTTCCATTCCAAGATGTTTTCTAGTGAATATGCTTTGAGCCATAGGAGCATCACTGTTATGGCTCTCTACATCTATTTTATTTGTATATGTACATATGAAGGTCTGACAATTAAGTTCGCAAACTCATCCTAGAAAAAGTGCTACATACCTCATTGCTGAGTATCACTACCGTCACCTTCAAAGCACTCCCCTTGGGAAGCTATGCACTGACTCCAGTGGCTAGTCCACCCTTCAAAGCAATCTTGGAACTCTTTTTCTAGAATAGTCCTTAGGGCTGTCATTATATTACTCTTGATGTCCCTGAATGTCATCAAAATTTCTTCCTT